ATGCAGGCCATCCCTGTACCAGCACAGGTACGGCTCATCAAGGGCCCCACTGGTGCCATCATACACTCACTGTTGCGCCTGGGATGGCACCCCAGGATCCATCGACTTGGTCATACACGACAAGTCCGGGCAGCAGTGAGGAGTGGAAATTTCCAGACACCATCTACACGGGCAATCCATATATTAACCGACATGACGACCTCCTGGCAGGTATGCGTGCGGCATGTGAATCCCAGCTCTGGGCTCAAGCCGCCAAGCGCTTCTGCGAAGGCGGCCTGGAGATGGAAGTGGACAACACATCGTGCATCCAGCTGCTGAAGCACATGTCCCAGGTACCGAATGGCAAGGGACTATGCGAGATCATGGTCATGGTGGCTGCAGGTGGCATGTGGAATAAGCAACGCAAACTGCAGGAGCTCAAGAACTACCAGGGCTCGGACAAGCGAGACAGGTGCGGCACAGACGTGGAGACCCCAGCTCCACAGATGTTGGCAGTGCGTGTGCAGTACGGGCGCCACACCCTACGACGACTCGGCCGATCTGTGCACGCAGGCTGTCACCCAGTGCAACACTGCCGAGGCGCTCTGGTTGCGAGGGCTCCTCCCTGCACCCTGGACGGAGGTGGGCCCACCTCCGACCACCGAGGCCTGAGGAGGAGGAGGAGGAGGAGGAGGGGGAGGAGGAGGAGGAGGAGGAGGAGGAGGAGGAGGAGGAGGAGGAGGACTGGGGGGCGAGAGCCGGCGCCTGGCATGTGTGGGGCCAGGCACCGCCGCCCCCCCGGGGGCCCAGGCAGCCGATGCCCTGAGCTTCGCCGAGTGGGCGTGGCAAGCACGCGTTTCGAGAGTTTGCTTCCCAGCATCCGCCCCGCAGGGTCTATCTTCGGGCCCCTGCGTGGGCGGAGGCGGGTGGTAGCGAGGGGAGAGCTCAACTGCCCACACGTGGCGCTTTGGGCCACCACCCGCCACCTCACCTTCGCTACCGACTTTGAGGATGTTGTCACGGGGTGGCATGAGCAGAGGTTCTGCCACCCCAGAGGCTCTGACGCGGACATATGGGCGGCCATCGGACAGATCATGGCCACCCGTCCCACCGAGCACGTCACTCTCCTTTTCGCACACTCTCATTTCTCGGCTACCCAGATGGCCAGGGGAGAGGGCATCAAGCAACTCATCATCGGCAACGCATTTGTTGACGAGCTGGCAGGCCTGGCAGCTGCGCAGGCCAGGACTCTCGAGGCTGAGAGGCATCGTCTCCTGCTGCATGAGCGACGCGCACGTTTGGTGCGCCTCAGACTCTTGTGGGCGGCAGTCGACTGCCTAGCCAAAGAGAAGGAGCTGGAAAAGCAGTGCGACGGACAAAGGAGACGTGGTGTGCTGTCTTCCCCCCTCCACCCCCTCCAGCTGCTGCGTCAGTCGCGGCCCTGATGTCGAGGCATGACTTGACGGACTGCAAAAAGAGGTGCACGAGATGCCGTGGCTCTGCGACCGTGGCCACCATGAAAGAATGGCATACTACAGCGTGCCCTGTTTTAGTGAATGTGAATGGTCTCACTTCCTCCCCTCCAGTTGGAGCCGGATACATGTCGGGGGGGCTGGCTGCACACTTCACACCACCTCAACGTGCATGTTGTATTAAACTGTTGGTTCTGTGGGAGGTGTGGGGCCACAGCTGACCTAGCCAAGCCCTGTTCGGGCATCCCCACCCCCACGGGACGTCAATATCTCAAGAGAATTAGTGATGGGCTACCCCCGAAGGTCCTCAGCAAGGTCGAATTGGTCCAGCGAGGTCGGGGGTAGAATCGGTCGGGATTGGCATCGCCATCGGTTCCTACTCCTACTCCTACTCCTCCTCCTCCTCCTCCTCCTCCTCCTCCTTCACCTCCTCCTCCTCCTTCTCCTCCAGATTCCAACACCCTCCCCTGGGCGTCCTCCTCTTCTATTTCTCAATGCAAGTGCGCCTCCTCCTCCTCCTCCTCCTTCTCCTCCTCCTCCTCCTCCAGATTCCAGCATTATCCCCTGGGCGTCATCCTCATTTCTTTCCCCAAGCCGGTGCGCCTCCTCCTCCTCCTCCTCCTCACCCTCCTCCTCCTCCTCCTTTTCCTCCTCCTCCTTCCCTCCTCCTCCTCTTCCTCCTCCTGTCCCTCCTCCTCCTCCCCTCCTCTCCTCCTCCCCTCCTCCTTTCCTCCTCCTCCTCCTCCAGATTCCACCATTCTCCCCTTTTCCTCATCTCTTCCCCATCCCTCCTCCTCCTCCTCCTCCCTCCTCCTCCTCCTCCTCCTCTCCTCCTCCTCCTCCTCCTCTCCCTCTCTCCTCCCTCCTCCCTCCCTCTCTCTCCCTCTCCCTCCCTCCTCCTCCTTCCCTCCTCCTCCTTCTCTTCCTCCTCCTCCTCCTCCCCTCTCCTCCTCCTCCTCCTCCTCCTCCTCCTCCTCCTCCTCCTCTCCTCCTCCGCCTCCTCCTCCTCCCCCTCCTCCTTCCTCCTCCTCTTCCTCCTCCTCCTCCTCCTCCTCTCCCTCCTCCACCTCCTCCTCCTCCCTCCTCCTCTCCTCCTCCTCCTCCTCCTCCTCCTCCTCCTCCTCCTCCTCTGCTCCTCCTCCTCCCCCTCCTCCTCCTCCTCCTCCTCCTCGTGTTTCCCCTCCCTCCTCCTCAGATGCACAGATCCACACATAGGTCCGAAGCTCGTGCAGTGCACAAGAATGAGCAAAACATATGGAAGGGGACTAGGGACGCACCCAGGAGAAGAAGGAAGGCCGAGAGGGGGGAGGAAAGAGGCGAGCAGGAAGATGAGTGCGTCCGAAATCCCCGACCTGGGCGAGCCTGCTGTGCCCTGGCGCTCGGAGCGCCGTCTTGGCACCCGTCCAATCGATGGCCGCCTCCCTGGGCGACTCCTCGCTCAAAGCTGGCCTCCCCCACTCCTCCACAACCCACCCACAATCACAAGCAGTTCCTGCTACTGAGAAGGCAGAGCCCAGGCCTCGCCTGGCCGTCTCCTCTGCTGGCTGTGGGAGGGAGGAGGAAGAGGGGACGGAGTGCAGAGATCCTCCTCCTCGTCCTCCTCCTACACCTCCTCCTCCTCCTGCTCTTCCTCCTTCTCCTCCTCCTCCTCCTCCTCCCCCTCCTCCTGCTCCTCCTCCTCCTCCTTCTCCTCCTCCTCCTCGTCCTAGCGAACAAGGTCGGCGGCACCGGCCGTCAGGCCTTCGCAATCCTCCCGCCACAGGGGATATGGCAGGGAGTTCAAGGAGTGTTCTCCCATGTTCCCCTGCCTGCCACATGGATTCGCGCAGGAGCTCCACTCGCCATCGCTCGGACGTCTATTCCCTGTGTTTTTAGCGGTTTCGTGCGTGGTTTTTTCACCAAATGATCAAGGATGCTCCTCGATGGCCCTCGCCGAAGGAAAAATGCACACGTCCGAGCGATGCCAAGTCCAAAGGACATTTGTTTATCCCGCTTGCCTGCCACGGGGGTCCTCGCACGGGCTCCGCGCGGGATCTGCACATTCCCTCCCTGCTTGGCACTGGGGACTTCACACTGATTACGAGGGAGATTTGTCTGCTTCCCCATGCATGCCACAGAGGGCTCTGAAAAGGTTTCGAACAAAGATCTGTTCATTTCCCCTTCCATGTAACCGTTTTCTTATTCGGCGCTTCGACAGTGGGCGGAAGAGGGGAGGCAGGGGGGGGGGTCTGGCTCTGGACCTCTGCTTAATGCGACTGCTTGCAACAGTGTCCTATGGGGGAGACGCCACCTGCTTGAAACAGGCGCCCCAAACAGCCACCATCTACTCCACGAGGGGGGGGAGCGGAATGCGAGGGCCCGCGCCGATCGGCAAAACAATGACTAGGAGAACGATCGCTATGTCAGAGGGGTTCGCCCAGGGGTCCAGGGGAAATTTGTTCATTCACCCCTGCCTGCCGCAGGGTATCTCAGCGACATTTATGTACCCCTAATCTTGCTTCCCACAGGGTTCACGTACATGTTCACATTGACATTTGTTTACTCCGCGCTGCCTGCCAAGGGTTATCACACGGGTTCTACGCGAGTTTTTTTGTGCACCCTCTATGTTTATGTGTTGTCACATGGTTTTCACAAGGGTTCTAAGGGAGGTGTTTGGGTTTCCCCATGCCTGCCACCCGGGGTGCGCGCAAGGGTTCCAAGGCTGATTCACCATGCCTGTCACAGGGTTTATCACAGGTTCTTGAGGAGTTGTCTACATTCCCTCCCTGCTTGCTGCAAGGGCTCACGCTGGGTGTCTGTTGCCCCCCCCGTCTGCTACAGGGTTTCGCACGCCAGGTTCTGATGGAGATTCGTCGATTTCCCCCTTGGTATTGGGTCCAATGGGAATCGAGTGTATCGAGATTTTCACCTCTGTCTGTCAAGGGGTCTCACAAGATCTGCAAGAGGGATTGCTTTATTTCCCTCTGCTTGCAACAAGGGCAATCGCGAGGGTTCTTCATGATATTTGTTTATCTCTCCATCTGCCTGCCAAATGAGTCCCACCAACGGTTAATTATCAGGGAGACTTGTTCCCCCCCCATCCTGCCTGATGCACGGGTTTCGGGCCCTGGGGGGGCCATGATCTTGATCACTTCGGCTGCGAGCCGACCAACCAATCAATTAGCCAGCCCACGAGCCAGCCAACCAACTGGCGACCCGACCAACCAGCCAGATAGCCAACAAGCTAACCAACCAACCAGCCAACAAGCCAGCGAACCATTCAGACAGCCAGCCAACCCCCTAGCCAACCAGCTAGCCAACTAGCAAGCCAGCCAACCAACCAACCAGCCAACCAGCCCCAACCGACCCCAACCAACCAACCAACCAACCACCCCATTGCATCCTTAAAAACATTTTCTCTTGAGGCTTGGCCCCTCGCACCTCTGCAGGATGTCTCACACGCCGGAGTCCAGACGCATCAGGAACAGGCATGCCTTCCAGCCCGCGAGAGGGAGAGGTTTTGAGGAAGGCGGAGCGAGGGTGCCCGCCCCATGTTCCCCAAAAGTATGCCTGGTAGCCAGCCAGGATGATCACCAAGCCGTCGTACTTCGGGCTCGTCATGGCTCCTACGATGGCAGTGCACGCCTCGCTGCCATACGTGCCCTTGCCCAGCTCATAGGCCTCATCGATGAAGAGCACGCCACCCTTGGCTTCGTCGAGCTTCTCCTCGACCTTCTTCTTCGTCTGCCCGACGTACTCGCCCGTCAAGCGCAAGCCATCAACCTCGACGACCTTGTCTTGCGCGATGAGGCTCAGCCGGTACAAAATCTTGGCTGTCACCCGCGCGACAGTCGTCTTGCCGGTGCCGGGCGCACCCATGAAGACGAAGTGTCCCAGCGGCGGCCGATCCTCACCCTCGTCCTCGGCGAGCTTGGTGGCGCTGCACAGCTGCTGCAGCTTCTCCCTCACGCTCTCCATGCGGTAGAGCCCGTCCAGCGGGGCGAACGGGTCGCCTCCCTCGCCCTCCGGCCCCAGGTCCACGTCGGTGTCCTCCAGGCGCATCTCCTCGTCTCCGAGGCCCTTCGCCGCGCCCCGGGCCATCGCCTTCTGCACAGCGGCCTTCACAAGGTTGTCCACCGCCCCAGCGTTGCCAAAGTTGGGCTCGCAACGGCGCTGCTCCTCCAACTTCTTGAGAGCCTTCTCTTGGAACGCCAAGCTCGGCTTCAACTGCTTGCTCTTGCAATTGTACATCAAAATTTGGAGTAACTCGTGTTCCGTGTAGTCCTCGAAACAGAATGCCTGTTGTGGGTCGAACCGGCGCTGCAGGCCAGGATTTTGGTTGCGGATCATTGCTAACATCTCTTCAGTGTAGCCAAGAAGCAGTACGGCGATATCGCTGCCGTTCTGCACCTTCTCCACGATCGTGTCCAGCGCCTGCGCTCCGTACTGGCTCTTATCCAACGCGTACGCTTCGTCGATCAGAAGCACCTTACCCACCGCCGCATCTAACAATGCGGCTGTCTTTTGCTGCGCCTGCCCTACGGCGGATCCACCCAGGTCGCTGGCAGTTTTTTCGATCACGTCGCCGTTCGAGAGCAAGCCTAAATGTTTCAGAACTTGCCCGTACAATTTAGCACACGTGGTCTTGCCTGTGCCTGGATTGCCAAGGAATAGCCTGTTCATGAACACGTCCAGCGGAGGCTTGCCATCGATCTCGCGCTCGTAGTTCGCGCTCGCTACCTCAACCAACTCTTTGACAGACTTCTTTACCTTCGCCCACCCAATCTTCTGAGAGATCTCATCTAGAATCTTTTGCAACTTCTGGCTGTTCGCGGGATTCTCGCCGACCACGTCCTCCGTCTCCAGCACCAAAGCCGTCGGGTCGAAATCATCGCGCGCCGTCAACCGCTGGAATGCGTCGTCGAGCTTCTGCCGTACCGCACGCGCGTTGCCGAAACCCTTCTTGCCAGCCATCTTCGCCAAGCGCCGCACCGCGACTTTCCCCAATCGGGGATCGGCCTCGATCAACTTCCGCTTCTCCACCATATTCTTCCAGACCTCCAGAAGCTCCGACTCGTCAAAATCCTCGAACACGACCTCCTTGAACCGACTCTTCAAGCCAGGATTATACGCAAAAAACTTATCGTTCATGTCGTCCTCGTAGCCCGCGAGAATGATTGTCAAATGCTCCCGGTCGTTCTCCGCGGTGGTCACTATCTCGTTCACTACGGGTGCGCCCTTGAACTTGTCTCCCACAGGATCCAAATCGTAGGCCTCATCGATGAACAGTACGCCGTCTCTCGCATCATTGACCCTCTTGCGGAACTCGTCGGCGCCCTCTTCTTTCAACTTCTGTGCGGTGCACTCTTCGAAGGTCCGCTTCTGCCGCAACCCAGAGTCGTAGAGAATCTTAGCGAAAAGCCGAGCTACTGTGGTCTTTCCTGTGCCAGGATTGCCTAGGAAACAATAGTTTAGTGTTGGCACGTTCAACTTGCGTACTTCGGGGTCCATGCGAGCGAAAGCAAGCCCATTTTTGAAGAGTCGCACAGCAGCAAGCTTTACCTTCCGCAGACCCGTGAGCCTCAGCAGCTCTTCCATCGCTTCCGATTTGGTATTGTACTCCTTGTGGCTGACAGGAAGTGCAAACGTGGCTCACGAAAATGTCCATTGCCAAGGCCCCCCTTATCAAAGAGACAACGACGAAACAGTCTTGCCACGACAGAACTGGAGTCGCGCATTTTTCTACCAACAGATCTTTAGCCACGCAATTGTCCTCCAACTCAAAGCAAATGGCCTACACCCGCGTAACTGAACATATGTTCTGGCGGCAGGGGGCGCCGCTCTTTTCAAATTCCATGTTGGCGAAAGGGTGCGCGACATGGGCTCCGCCATTCGAACTGCCCCACCAACAACGAGAGCAGCTGATCACCGAATCGGGCTTACCAAAAAGCGCGCCCCACAACAAGAAACGAAGACTTCACAGGGGTGGGTTGGAATCCTGTGTCGTACAGTCGGCCTTGATTGGAGAGGACTCGCGAGAGGACACAAAACCCTTCCGACGGCCACATTGCCATAGGAATGCAGGAGGCACGGGTCGCGAGACACAGGACACAAAGGCACCCTTGATTTGGCAGGGTCGACCTACTAATCCGGCCGACTGTATGCCGAAGGTGTCAGGTGGTACTCCCTGCGGCATGGAACGCTGAGGACGTGCCAGGCGGGGTCATCACCGAAGGACTCGCGCCCCGACGGCTGGCATCGTGCAAACGTGGCCAGTGTGGATGGGGCAGGCGAGCTCATATGAAGGGGCCCTTGGACACACAAATAAGTAGACACAAATAACATGATTCCCCATATTTCCCCATACTTTCTGGGTTTTTGTCTTCCCCCCCCACTTCCCATATTTTCCCATATTTTCCTGGGAGTCGACGAGTAAATATGTCTGTGTGTTTTTTCCCTCCTGATCAGAATCGAATCGATAGGTCGGATCTGCAATCGAAACGCATCGGATCGGCTGAAGTCGGCAGCCGAGTCGAGAAAATGGGACCGGTGGAAATCGGCAGGCCAGTAGGCCTCCGCTGAGAAATCGGAGCCCAAGTCGGAATCCGAAGCCGAATCGAATCGGAATCGGAGGCCATCGAAATCGAATCGGATCGGATCGGAGGAATCGGAATGAGCCCTGCCGGATGGGGGGGGGGGGCATGTCCCACAGACCTTCTGGGCCGAGGTGGCTTCGAGGTCCTGGTGACCTCCCGTCCCCGGGCCTCCTGGGCGGGGCTTCCCCCTCTTGACTGCCCCCCGCCGCCAACACACCTCCACTCGCGGCTGTGGAAACAAGTGGAGGTGTCCGGCAGTCTGGCGCGGCGGCCGCCCCGCAGGTAACCGCGGAGAGGAGAGGGCGAGCGCCGGATGGCACTCGCTGCTGGACAGGACCTCGGACTTCACGCTGCGGGGTGCTGTGGAACTCTTTTAGAGCTCTTTTGGGCGTTCTCTTGCTCGGCGTTTCGGTAGTGGGCGGAAGGGGGGGGGGGGAGCTGGCTCTGGACCTCTGCTGAATGCCTACTATTTGAAGCAGTGCGTCCTATGGGGGAGACTCCACCTGCTTGAAGCAGGCGCCAAAAACAGTCAGTATCTACTCCATGGTGTGTGCGTGTGTGTGTGTGTGTGTGTGTGTGTGTGTGCCCGCGCCGATCGGCCAAACAATGAACAAGAAAAGGATCACCTTTTTGGCGCTGTTGGGCCCTGTTTGGGACCTCTTGGCCCTTTGGGGCTCCCAGAGCCTTTGGGGCTGTCCTACGGCCAGCTTGGGGCACGGATGGACCTCCCCTTCGGGCTTGACCTGTGATCTGAAGCTTGGAGGGGACTGTTGGGGCCCACGAGAGGCTCTCCCAGGGTGCTCTTTGAGGCCGCCTGGGGGCTCTGCTGGACCACTGTTGGGCGACTTGGGGCCTCAGAAGCCTCTCGGAGGCAGATTTAAAGAGGAAGCGACAATCGCAGTCGACAGCCGATTGTTGCTTCCATTGATTCCGGCGCCTCCGAGCCATCCCTGGGAGGCTCGAGGGCCGCCCGAAATCTACCTCGAGGCCTCCTTGGAGCCCCGACGGGCCCTGCTGGAGGCCACCTGAAGCCAACGTGGCCCCACGACTACAACTTTGGAGGCACGTGCTGTCTAGTCCTGCCACATCTGGCCCTGCCCGGCTCGCGAAGGCACCGCGGGAGCAGTGCCGTGGTGCTGCGAGCCCTGTCTCCGCGGCTCGCCCAAGAGGGGAAAAAGGCGCAGCGCCACGATCTGCGGCGCCGGGAGGAGCTGGCGCGCCACAGCAGGGGTCGTTCACCCAGGACCTCAACTCGGGTCGGGCGAAGGGGGGGGATAGCAAAAGGGGGGGGGTTGAGAATCAGCTCACGTAGCTGATTTTCCCGGCGCCTCCCGGCGCCGGAGGCGGCTATGTATCGAAGAATGGGCCCCTCCGTGGGGCCGAAACCAGCTGCATGCAGCAAATTTCGTACCCCCCCCTTTCCCAATTCCTCCCTTTCGTCCGGCCCGATCAACTTGGGGGTGCTTAAGAGTTTGTCCATCAAGGTTCCACTCTCTGCGGCAGTCGTCTTCAGAAAAGGGAGCCCTCGAGATCAGGAGCAAGGGTGTGCGATCCTCTCGGGCCAGCCACCACGGTGTCCCCACGGAGCTTCAAGATGCCAGCGATGTGCTAGAGACACGGACGCCAGAGGCCCCCGAGCCAACCGCGAGCATCGAAGCCGACTTATCTTCTGCCAACCGTTTTGCAAAGACGACGGTAGCCCTCAGGGCTGGAACGTCTAGCAAAGGCTGTGAAACTTGCTGCTGGACTGCTGTCTCGTGTCCCTCGTGCTGTCTTCTGGTTTTGTCTCTTGCCTCGCCAGCCCTGCCTCCATTCTGCTGTCGACTAGGGGGCCCGCGCGGGCAAAGAAAGCACTGTGTGTGTGTGTGTGTGTGTGGAGGGGGCCCCTCAGCCTGCTGGCCGCTCTAGGCTGCTCTGGGTTTCCTACAAAGACGCAGCCAGAGAGCCAAGAGGGCCTGAGAGGCCTCCGGAACGGCTCCAAGAGGCACCGAAGAGGCCCGGCCGAAGATGGCCTCGAGATGCTTCTGAGACGGCCCAGTAGGGCCCCAACACGCCCCCGAGAGAGAAAGCAAAGCACATACACACATCTTGCTACATTGAATTTCTTTCCCTGTCCTATGTTCTGCTCCTCAGATGTTGCATGGTCGCTTCAAGACGCCTCCCAGAGTTCTAGATATTGCCCAAGACTATCCCACGGTGGCCGCAAAAATGTCGCCAATCTTGCGCAGTGTGGTCCAACAGAGTCACAAGGTGCCCCTCAAAATTGACCCCAGAGGTCCTGGTATAGCCTCAATGTTGCCCAACATGTCCCAAAAGCAGCACGAGAAACCCAAGCATGTCAGAACCAGATAGTCGTGGAAGCCCTCGGGGTCGGCCAAAAAGGCCAACATCATTGAACCGTTATATTTACACATAGATGTCCGTCGGCACCCTTGTGGGGTAACCAGGCTGTAGGACGAGGGTTTGCTGTTCCCTGCGCCAGTTCCCGTTTCCAGTTTCCACAGTTACAATATTGTTTTATGCTGCTTACTGTTCCTTGTTGTAGAGCGCGCGAGGGGGGGGTGCCGAAAATCAGCTTGATTAGCATCTCCTGGAAGGGGTCTCAGAATTTCTGGAGGGGTCGAAATTGACACCCCTCACGCAGATCGGCGGAGTCAGAGTCGAAAAACATAACGGATTTGTTACATTTCTAGAATTCGGTGGCACTCCTCATGCAGACCGGCGGGGTCAGGGTCGAACAACCAATGGGATTTGCGACATGTCTTGAAATTCGGTGGCACCACTCACGCAGATCGGCGGGGTCAGGGTCGAAAAACCAATGGGATTTGCGACATTTCTGAAATTCGGCGGTACCCCTCATGCAGATCGGCGGAGTCAGAGTCGAAAAACCAAAGGGATTGACTACATTTCTGAAATTCGGCGGCACCCCTCACGCAGATCGGCGGAGTCAGGGTCGAAAAACCAATGGGATTTGTCACATGTCTTCAAATTCGGTGGCCCCCCCCACGCAGATCGGCGGAGTCAGAGTCGAAAAACATAACGGATTTGTTACATTTCTAGAATTCGGTGGCACTCCTCATGCAGACCGGCGGGGTCAGGGTCGAACAACCAATGGGATTTGCGACATGTCTTGAAATTCGGTGGCACCACTCACGCAGATCGGCGGGGTCAGGGTCGAAAAACCAATGGGATTTGCGACATTTCTGAAATTCGGCGGTACCCCTCATGCAGATCGGCGGAGTCAGAGTCGAAAAACCAAAGGGATTTGCCACATGTCCGAAATTCTGTGGGAAACCTCAGTGCACAGCATACGGGGGCAGGTTCAAAATGCAACACTGAGTTCAACAATCTCATCAGAATCTCAATTTCCCTTGCCGATGCTGCTTCACGGCGGCGCCGAAACCTCATGAATTAGCTCTTGCATCGCCCATTATCCGAGAGAGGGGGCTGGCAGCAGGGGGCGAAACCCTTACGGACACATGTATGCATGCATGCATGCATGCATGCATGCAATGTGTATGTATGTATGTATGTATGTATGCACACGTACATTTATGTGTGTTTATGTGTATGTATGTATGTATGTATGTATGTATATGTATGTATGTATGTATGTATGTATGTATGTATGTATGTGTGTATGTGTGTATGCGTATATATATATATATATATACGTGTAGCTGTGCTAACACAATGGATGCCTATGTACTTAGAATACGGATCCGCCTTGATTTCTGGCCCGGTGGCCCTCCGCCCCACGAGGCCCAAAGAGGCCTCCAAACGGCTCCCAAACGGGCCCCAAGATGTTCCGAAGAACCTCCTGACCCGCCCCAACAGCTCTGACCTGACACTCAAAACAGCGGTCCCAACCCCATCATGCACCGAACCGAGGACCCAATTATTACGGCAACGGTCAGACAGTCAACATGGATGGATGGATGGATGGATGTCAGAGTGAGGGGGCCGAACGGTCATTCACTGTCCCTGGGTGCGTGGCTGAAGTGGAATTCCGCGGTGCGGATTCTC